CTTTCTTCTTTTTTTCAGCATGGAATAAACCTATTACTTGTTCCTTTGCAGCCTACGCATGCTGACGCAGCTACCCACCTGAACCAATATTAAATATACTTGTAAGTTTAAAAACAGTAAATAAAAGTAAATAAGACAACTGGATATGCTCACTAACCAGTTCACACAGGTGTGCTAGACACACTTTCAGAGATTAAAATATTTTGTCAATATTTTTTATTTTCTGAACCGACTGCGTAAATTGACAGTGCGTAAATTGAGAGTCGACTGTAATTTGCTGTTGTTGGATCTCTGACTAAACTTTTTCTTGTTTCTCTCCATCATCCGATTCTCTCCTTGGTCATGTTCTATAACTCTTCAAGGTGTAAGGTGTACAACAGTTTGAAGGAGGAGAACTCCTTCAGATCGTTCAAGGTCCATCCATGTGTCTCAACTAAGTGTGCTCTTCTATTTTCTATTGAACCTTTTCATCAGCCCGGTTGCTTTCAGGATGATGTGCTTAAGTTCCTTTAGCTTCTTTACTACCAACAGGAAAAGCATCATGGATAGCTGTACCCTATGTCTATGGTACAAATAGGTTTTAACTCTACAGTATCTCTGTGAATGCAGGGGATGTTGAGTGCTACAAATGGACAATGGAATGGCATTACCATTCATCTTTTCTGGTGACTGACTGATCATAATAGTGCCTGAATTTTGTAACCCCTTTATGCTATGGGAAGGTAATCTGTAGCCACTGAAGTGCAGTGCCTCTTGAAGTATCTGCACATCTGCCTTTATTTCTCCAACGGCAGTTGATCAATTCCTTGTTGCCACTGGCTGGCCTCTTGTAGCCATTATTTGACCTCATGTTGTTGGCTGTTTGTTGGCTTTGTCTTGGCTGGATTGGCTGGAAACAGCTGTTTCAATCATTTCTTCAATGTTATTTTTTCCCAGCCTGCACAACTTATGCACACATTCCACAGTTTAAATCGTGCAGGGAAGTGGTAATATGTGTGACTTTTAATATGCAGGGTGTTACAACATAAGACATTTCAACTGACAGAATCCAGTCTTTTATGCACTGTTGCACAAGTCCTTTTTCATATCGTAGGCGTCTTGTCAGTTTCAACTGGTTGAATAACAGTCAACATAAACAATATTATTATAAGAGAAAAAAAAATCTCTCTGCTGGAGCACTGAGCTCTCTCTGTCACCTGGATAGCTAAGCTGCTTAACGACTATTACAAAAAAATCACAGAAGTTACTTGTAGTCCAAAAAAAAGTCCTGTACTGTCAGTCTTTTCCTTCTTAAGCCAAAAGTCTGATCATTCAAATACAAAAAATAGATAATTCCCTCAAGTTTCTGCCTTTCAAGGCAGAACAAAAAACTACCCTCCTTTTCCTGCTGTGTATCTCTGTCCTACAGGTCACTTCTCTGAGGTCATAGCTGAGTTTTCCTGGACCACTTCTCTGTGCCTATCTTACTCCTCCATGCTTCCATAGCTACAGAATTCCTGCACTGATTAACCAGCTGCCAACAACCTTTGTCTTCAAGGAACAGGATAACATACTGTACATACTTGTAATAATGCTTCCTGGCAAAGAAAATGTTAAACAAGGAATAAGCGTTTTTTAGATATAAGATAAAGAAAAATCCCTAAAAACTCTTAACAGGAAGTATTTCTGAAGGTTAATTCAGCCTAATTATCCAAAATCAAAGCTAATTCGGCTACATACAGTAAATAGGTTTCTTCCTCTGAAAATGTAGTACTGCATGCTTTCAAACTGTGCTAGGTCATTTTAATGCCAATAAACATATTTCACTTTGCATTTTACATAAATAATAGTAATGATTTTTTAGGTAACATATATCAGATGCTTCTCAAAGTCACTTCTAGATCCTCAACTGCAGTATTTTGCTTTCCACAGTGAATTTCAGATGTCCTTGTGTAGTCAATAGTCATAAGGTGCTTTTATCTATTGGTGTCTGTCAGATGAAGACTTTAAAGGAGTGGATTTTTACATTGATGTGCCTTCTTCAGTTCAAGGAAATTGTACATAATAATTTGAGATTTAAAATGTTATTTTCCAGTTGCCATAGCTGCCATTAAAACTGTTAAAAATTATTAACACACAAGTATTTCAGTAGATGGAACTTTTAATTTATGCTATTTTTTTCTCTCCTGGAATAGAAACTATAATAAATACAGTATATTTAATATATTTAAAATTCCATGTAAATCCTCTGTATGTGTTACCATCATATCTATAGTGTGATCTATAGTGTAATCAGATACTGTATTTGGATAGGGGCTCCTGGCACTCATTTCTTTGTAGTTCAAAGCTTACCCCACGTTATGAAAGCAAAATAAATCTCTTAAGCTTTAAAAGTAATGAGTGCAGAAAGAATATGGCTTAAGAAAAAGCCAGACTTCTATTTGTTATTAATGAGCATTACCGCAAGAAGTGAAAACCACATCATGTCTCACACTTTTCTCCATTTGCCAGTATAGTTATACACAAATACATAGCAAAATTGATTAACAAAGAAACAATGCAGCATTTACATGTATATAACTCAGCTGTTATAAAACAGCCAGCAACAACTTTTCTATTTTAGACCAATTACTAATGTAGTTTAGTAGTTTAAATTACAAATTTAGTGCAAGAGTTAAAATGCTTTCCTATATAAAGGGAGTCTGGATCAAGTTTGGAACAAAACAAAAAGAGCTAGATCCATTGATTTTTAACTTTTCCTATGTTCTTATATACACAGCTTAAATCAACAATATTCTTATCTGGCCAAGACCAGTGTCTTTATCCTTTATTGAGTAAATCACACTGACAGCAAAATCAGTAACTTTCCACCACTCTGCAGAACCTTAAAATTGTCTGTTTGGCAAACAAAGGCACTTCTTTTTAATGTGCTGAACACACACTGCTATCAAAGATTAATGAAACGCTAATCCTTGACAAAAGAGCATCTTAAATCTATTGAGTCAACATCTCTGTCTTGGCACACATGAAAACTGACATTCCCCTCTCCAACAAACACTGATGGATGCAGTTCTGTTGTTCATACAGTATGATAATGTTACAATGAAATGAAGTTAGATATCTGATGGGCTTAACTCTCTTAACCCTCCTTGGCTGATCTAAACATAAAGCAAGAGGTGAAGCTGACAGAGAACACAGCTCATTTTGGAACCTCTTGTCACAGTATCTGTCACTCTTCCCTTTTCATTTCTTAATTTTCAAAAATAGAAGAAATGGAAAAAAGCAACAACAGATGCAAAATACAACCACATCCAGAAATCAGGAGTGCACAGAAAAAAAGTAGAAAATAGAGATCATTAAGGAGGCTGTAAAGGTAAGAAAAAGTGACTGACCATGGTGTCAAAATTTATTAAAATAGTACATTCATTGGGTATCTTTGCTTCAACCATGCAGATACTGTAGACACCTCTGTGACAGAGAGTGTAGGGAGCAATCTTCAACTGGAAACCCTGGAATGGATTGACTATGTGCAAGTCTAGAACGGATTAGCTGGTGTGCTAGATTTTTAGAAGAAAATATTTTGCCAGACACCATCCCAATCAGCACCACCATCCATCTTGTGCTGTTCTCTAGTTTAGATGAGAGAATAAAGTCATAGAATAAAACTAGACTACTTACAGTGACCATTGAAACAATTTGATCAGCTACTGATATTCGGGAGATGTGATTCTTTGTAACTCAGTGATGAGGAAAAGCTGATTTTTTGGAGATGGTCTCGATCTCTCTCCATTTAATAATTAGAGTATAATGTGGTTTTCTAAAACTAAATACATCAAGTACTTTGAATGCCCTAAAGATCATGTGCTGATGATTCTTTTCAACCACATTTAATTATTAATGTAGAATTAGTATGTCCATTACTGCTGAAAAACATTTCCCTAATAAACTGAAAAAGCAGCATAGTTAAAAAAATAGCATTCTAGATACTCTTTGAAGTGAAGAAGGCTGAATCCAGCCTACACATAGCCTGAAGTCAGTGTAAAATAAATGAGTTTTTTCTTGTGATTCATTCAATTGGTGAAGAAGATTGTGTGCTACTTTTCTCTCCATCTGCTGTGACCATTTTAAGTAAGGTACAGTACACTGCAACACACCACAAGGGCAAAGTAACTGAGTGAAAGTATGCACAGTGAAACTTTCTTAATATCAGACTTAGAACTGGTAATTAAATCTCCTTTGAATCCACTAGAAAATAATAACTAAGAAAACATGAGCTGAGCAAGACAGATAACATGCAAAATTTAATTTTCAGAACAGGAAAGCAATATATGTCTTAAATTAGTTTCCTCTCGGTATCATTTAATGAACACCAATCCTCATTTGTATAATTTATTTAGATATGTTTTACACATACATATTACCACAAATCATTTCAAAAGTAATTTTAAAGTTAATAAATAGGGAATCATTTTTTAGATTTAAATTAATAATTAAATTTAGACATTGTCTACAGCATCAGAGCCCTTCTGTCTGGTTAAAATGCTGGTGGTGGGCAGGCAGATGTGGACCATGACATCTTCGCCCTGAATGACATTTCATGAGATTCACATACACCTGTCAGAAACACACTGACAAAATCTTTCTCCAAACAGCGAAGCATTGCTTAAGCATCTATTTTAATTCAGGTTGGCGACAGAAGTTACCGGATTATTTATTAAACTGTTTCTTTTAAGGCAACATTTTGCATTTGTATTGCGTTTCCGTGTAAGTGATTTGTATCACAACACTTTGGGGACAATCAAGCTTTCTCAACTGCCTGTGTTAACATTTTTTGAAAAGTGCACATTAGAGGTAGAAAAGTGACATACAGAATGAAAGAAGACTCCATACACTAACAGTAAAGGTATTTGAAACACCTTTGATTGATCCGTGTACCATGTTTAAGAATTCTCTCACCTGCTTTGTTCTTCCTTTGGCTTCAGTAGATAGATTGTAGTAAGTGTAGCGAGCTTGAGTAATACCACAGGAAAGAACTGCAACAATTCCTACAGAAGAAAGAATGGACGTTTATTGAAACACAAGGTTGAAACATTAATAGGCCTGAACTGTGGTACAGGTGCTAAATATTGTATTTACACATAAACATCATTTGCTGCAAATCAAGTTTCATTGTGATTTATTTTCTCTGTACTAAAGCGTATTTAGTTTATTTTCAACTACAGCACCAAACGCGAACGATCCACTGCTATAAAACTCATGCACATCTTTAAGACCAGTATCAAGTGTAAGAAACTTAATTTTATAAGTGACACTATAACCGGAGTGGCTTATAACCTCAGAAGGTGTTAAGTTTTAACTTCCCAGATTGCAAAACATAACACAATTTGGATTTTCATCACAATTTGTTCAACTTGTTTCATACATGGAATTTTTGGTTAACTATTTGGAGCACAAAAACTTATTACTGAGATTCTGGCGCTTTGAAGCATGATCATCACATTTAGGGATTTCAATACCCAAACTGAAACTGGGAGAGATAAACAAGTTCAACAATATTCTGATTAATTATGATCAACTTCATATCTTATTAGACTATATGCAAATTAAGGGACTTCAAAATAGATAAACTCCATTTACACAAATCACCTTCTAAAGCCAATGTTGGAGGAATAACTGTGGGAAAGTTTGTATAACTGTCTGTTACATGAATATATTATTAGGTATGAAATAGTCTAATAACACTCCTGATTGTGTTTAATGAAAAGTACACTGAAGAAGAATGAAGTCACATCATCCAGCTAATTACTGTTTTAGTTCAATTGTGTGTTTCTTTACATTAAAATGTGCCTTTCAGAACAAGAAAATTCCATCATGACAGATTTACTACTATACAAGAATTTTGACACTTAGCATTTACTAACTTACACATAGCCTACATTGGTGTGTTCTACCATCATATCAGCCTGATGGTAAAAACCTGATCACAGCTATTCTTGTATAGTTTACCTTGAGGTGTTAATACTGTATATGGTAAATACTGTCTCTAAACACATTTACTAATCAAACTGCACTGATTCATAGTCAGGTTGTCCCTGTTATTAACATCATTTGATCCTCTCTTCACAGCCATAGAGCTACAGTTAAAGCTCTCTTTAGCACTATAATAGTGTATACTGATTTATCTGGATTAACTATTAGCTTAAATGAAATGGATACAATTTCAACAGAATATCACCACAGAATTGTTTCTATATAAAGAAGAGTAGAACAATGCAAAAATGTCTAAGACTTTTGCAACTTTGTGAATTTTAATAATTTGAACTCATTTATAGCTAATTCCTAATGAAAGGTAGATCCAAAATCTTCACAAAAAAGCAAATAAGATTTATTATCCAAGACTTCAATTAGTGAAATTCATTTAATACATGTGTTCATTTTGTAGCTTAGAGGACTCCTACTGACAGTAATAACCTAATTAAAAGTATGCTTGTGCTGTCTTGCAAATATTATAGATAACCTCAAACATCCATAATTGGAATTGAACCTAGTAGAAAAGCACTTAAGCAGTCTTATGATGTTTTGACTTACATGGTTTTCTTAAAGTCTGAAAGGAATTTAATAGATGAACTAATGTTTCTTGGAGATGTCTAAAGCCCAGACGTTAATATTAAAGGTCATATTGCAAAGAATACTTCAATATTGTTGTTATCCCGACTAATTTTTTAACAAAGTAGCTAAAAATGCATACTACTGTACAGTGCCTTGCGAAAGTATTCGGCCCCCTTGAACTTTTCAACCTTTTGCCACATTTCAGGCTTCAAACATAAAGATATAATTTTTTTATTTTATGTGAAGAATCACCAACAAGTGGGACACAATTGTGAAGTGGAACGAAATCTATTGGATTTTTGAAACTTTTTTAACTAATAAAAAAATGAAAAGTGGGGCGTGCAAAATTATTCGGCCCCCTTGCGTTAATACTTTGTAGAGCCACCTTTTGCTGCGATTACAGCTGCAAGTCGCTTGGGGTATGTCTCTATCAGTTTTGCACATCAAGAGACTGAAATTCTTGTCCATTCTTCCTTGCAAAACAGCTCGAGCTCAGTGAGGTTGGATGGAGAGCGTTTGTGAACAGCAGTTTTCAGCTCTTTCCACAGATTCTCGATTGGATTCAGGTCTGGACTTTGACTTGGCCATTCAAACACCTGGATACGTTTATTTGTGAACCATTCCTTTGTAGATTTTGCTGTATGTTTGGGATTATTGTCTTGTTGGAAGATAAATCTCCGTCCCAGTTTCAGGTCTTTTGCAGACTCCAACAGGTTTTCATCCAGAATGGTCCTGTATTTGGCTGCATCCATCTTCCCCTCAATTTTAACCATCTTCCCTGTCCCTGCTGAAGAAAAGCAGGCCCAAACCATGATGCTGCCACCACCATGTTTGACAGTGGGGATGGTGTGTTGAGGGTGATGAGCTGTGTTGCTTTTACGCCAAACATATCGTTTTGCATTGTGGCCAAAAAGTTCGATTTTGGTTTCATCTGACCAGAGCACCTTCTTCCACATGTTTGGGGTGTCTCCCAGGTGGCTTGTGGCAAACTTTAGACGAGACTTTTAATGGATATCTTTGAGAAATGGCTTTCTTCTTGCCACTCTTCCATAAAGGCCAGATTTGTGCAGTGTAAGACTGATTGTTGTCCTATGGACAGACTCTCCCACCTCAGCTGTAGTTCTCTGCAGTTCATCCAGAGTGATCATGGGCCTCTTGGCTGCATCTCTGATCAGTCTTCTCCTTGTCTGAGCTGAAAGTTTAGAGGGACGGCCAGGTCTTGGTAGATTTGCAGTGGTCTGATACTCCTTCCATTTCAAGATGATCGCTTGCACAGTGCTCCTTGGGATGTTTGAAGCTTGGGAAATCTTTTTGTATCCAAATCCGGCTTTAAACTTCTCCACAACAGTTTTACGGACCTGCCTGGTGTGTTCCTTGGTCTTCATGATGCTCTCTGCGCTTTCAACAGAACCTTGAGACTATCACAGAGCAGGTGCATTTATACAGAGACTTGATTACACACAGGTGGATTCTATTTATCACCATCAGTCATTTAGGACAACATTGGATCATTCAGAGATCCTCGCTGAACTTCTGGAGTGAGTTTGCTGCATTGAAAGTAAAGGGGCCGAATAATTTTGCACGCCCCACTTTTCATTTTTTTATTAGTTAAAAAAGTTTCAAAAATCCAATAGATTTCGTTCCACTTCACAATTGTGTCCCACTTGTTGGTGATTCTTCACATAAAATAAAAAATTTATATCTTTATGTTTGAAGCCTGAAATGTGGCAAAAGGTTGAAAAGTTCAAGGGGGCCGAATACTTTCGCAAGGCACTGTATATATAAAAGACTGAACAGAAGGGTTTCATCTTGTGTTTGTACCAAGAAAAGGAATGATTTTCTAGCTGGACATTTTGTAAAGTGACCTGAATAATGTTTATTTGCTAACATTACTTTTCATTTATGATTTGAACTAGGAAATACCACAGGTATTTGATTTGAACAATGAGTTGTTTTACAGCCCAATGTATACAAGAAAGGCCAAAGTAGGATAAAGCTTTGAGTTACTTTATTGACTAGAACATTGGTGAGGAAAAATCAAAATGAATAAAGGAACCCCGCAATATGCCTTTAGTTAAGCCATTAGAACCACTTGGGCTGAATGCCCTTGCAAAACCTCAAAAGAGTTTCCTGTCAAGTACTGTAAGTAATACAGACTTCCAGAGAGGTGATTCCTTCAAAGCAGGTGTTACCTTTTTAAGCCTGCAGTTCCAAGTGTGATCAAATTATGAAATAGTTCAGGCTCCTGAGACAAGCATTGGGTTAATACCTGTATGTCGTGATCCCAGAGCCAAACTTGAACTGACTGTAAGCTACTTACCACTCAATCCACAGGCCTCAGCTGAGAGAAACGCACTCCAGGACAGCAGGAAGAAGAGGCCAGTTTCCAGCATTGGGTATTCATACAGTCTCGTAAACTTAGTCAGGTAAGCATGAGAGGTTAAAGAAAACAGTATATATCCGCACATTCCAACTTGAATACATAACTGAATCTTTTCACTGGGAAAAGTTTAATATGATGCTTCTTCAGTTAATGCATTATGCAGTTTCTCTAGAGAGGCAAAGTTAATTAATTCCAATAATTACCAAACTTACTCTTCTGTCACACAGTTGTCTTTAATTCATTTAGTTTTAGTCTGTTCGCAAATCTCATTCACATTCTGCAGCATTACTCTCACAAGAATGTGCATTTGTACAAATATTCAAGTATTTTCTTTTAATTATCTTTTTTTTGTTTTATTTGCACAAAAAGCATTTTATTTGCACATTGTTATTGATGATATTGGTAAGTGAATCAATCAGTAAACGACTGATTGATGTTGATTGCCTGAGTTATGGACTTCAACATTACCTACAGTATTTAATGGATGGACAAATCCAATGGTTCATTCCTCTAATTCTTATAGGCATCCTTCAGGAAGCAAAATGACTGAGACCTAGAAAAAAAGCCTTTAGGATGTCTTATCCAAGCAATATGTTCAAATAAGCACAATATGATATAGATTTAAGTCTAAAAGCCATTTCAAATAAATTACAAATGGAAAATTGAAAGATTCCCAGTAGAATTTGTCTCCTCAGATCAATGACAAGGAACCTGACTGCTTAAAGGCTGTCCACTCATAGCAGTAAAATAAGACTGTATTTTGCCATGTATTCAAGCTACAAGATCTTAACATCATCTCTCACAATTTGCAACACTTTTTAGGATAAAATGCCCTCCTTATATAAACAACTTGAGATTATATTTAACAATAGAAACACAATATCTAAATGACAAAGTTTGAACCAGCCACATTAAGACAGTACAGAGAATGGTAGGTCAAAACATTGAGCAATCTGAAAAAATAAATCAGAAGCCTTTCTGGGAATAAACATTTCTATCAAAACCGTAAAAAAACACTGGGCCCATCACTTAGAAATTTGCATAAATTCATACTACTGACAACAACAAATGTTAGTTATACTGGATTTACAGTATGTGTCTTATCAAACATTGTAAAATTGTATCAGGATGAGAAATATAAAAGTACCTAATGTTAAATATCAAAGAAAAAATAATCAGTGATGAGCTGATTTCTGCAGAAGGAAGAAGTATGGTCCTTTGAAAACTTACTAAACAATTTCATAAGAACTGAATTCAGCTTTTCAGGCTTCGATCGCTTCATCAATTTAATTTTTCACAGGATTCTATTTACAAAGAAAACAAAAGTGAAGCAAGGTTACACAGCTGATCGAAACCTACTCAGGGACACATTCTGAGTTATTACTTTTCTTAACACAGAAAATACAGAAATAAACTATTACCAAACTATAACCAATCTAGAAAATGATCTTATATTATTTCACCGCCACTATATAACAGATCGTCATATTTAATTCGTATTCTAAACAATTAAACATGTTTAACATGAAACGTCATTTAAACACCATAAAAATGCAACATTATATTCACAGATAGCCAGTTGTGGTGGTTCAGACATCTGGTGAATATGCCCCCCAGTTGCCTTGCTGGTGATGTACTGGGCACAAGTCAATGGGAAGAGACCCCAGGGCAGACCCAGGAGATGCTGGAGGCATTACACTATATCCCACAGCTGGCCTGGGAGCACCTGGGATTTCTCCAGGAGGAGGAGTCAGCTGTTAGAAAATGGGATGGGCTGGCACATCATATTCCAGATATCATATTAGGCAGCATTACTTTATTTTGTATGTTTTCGCTATGCCATAATTTCTGTGAACCAATTCAATCACAAACATTCAACTAGCGATGCTCCTCCATCCAATCTATAAAGCAAATGGAAAATGGTCAATATGGTGGTAGCTCATGTTCACATAACAGTACACACCTATTGAACTCAATCCACAGGTGCTCAAATGATAAAGTCCCTTAAACAGATATTAAGACTACAAGTCACTTTGTTTTGTAAATTATCCCGTAATTGAAGACAGTATCCTACTGTTAGATTTTATACTACACACTTACTACTTTTTGGAAATGATCTCTAAGATGAAGAAAATGATCCTCTTGTTGTCTTTTTACTTCATACTTGCTACTTTTTGTAAATGATCCCTCAGCTGAAGACAATTACTTGATTGTTGGATTTTAACAGGTGCTTCCAGTCAGTATGAGGCACTGCTGGAGTTTAATGACAGTTGGAACAGCCAAAGCTTCCAACTGTCATTAAACGAGGCAACATTCCCTGGTTTCTTGTTCACCGAGCTGTGAGATTGCTGCACCGTTGACGTGCGAATCTGCCTTTTCATCACCTTCATGCGTGCAGATTCGCAAGCATACATTTCTTACTACGTGTGCATTGTCACACTTTGTTACAATTCACCTTCAGAAGTCAGGGAATACTGAAAGAATGGCACAGGAATATCAAAATCTGTTACAATGGCACGCTCATCATTCATCATTCTGATGTCATAGTTAATAATTAGCGTAAAAAAATATGTAGAGTTTCTACAACGCTATAATAAATATCATTCTAATTTTGAAACCTGATGGCGGAAAGACAGGTGAAAAGGATATCAAAGCTGTAATAATGGTAAAAGCTGATCCAATGGCGAAAGAGCCAGAAACAATTCCAATGAATTGGCCAATGGAATGGAAGAATGCACTTCCATCAAAGGCATAACGGTCTCCTCTTGGGCTGTAGGCTGATATTGAACTGAAAAACATTGAAAATACATAATGAAATACTTAAAAAGTGACACCTTTTTTGCAGTAGACTGCTGGAAAAATTCAGGAAAACAAGTGAGGTAATGCACTGCACCCCATTTCTTGCCATGCTGATTCGAACTAATGTGGTTTGAATAAAACAAAAATCAAAGAAAAAAATATTCAACAAAGCCAATATTTTTTACCAGATGTTTTTTCCTGGACACCTTTTTTGCTTTTGCTTTTCTCTCACAGAAAACGGGGGAAAAAAGTTGCACAGAATTCTGGAATACAAGAATTTTATTTAAAGCCTCATAAATATTTGCTTTTCAGAAATGAGTATTTGCCACTTAGAAGCACAGATGCTGTTCAGGGATGTACAGTATGTGGTATCTCAGATGGAAAAATGAAAGAAGGCTTGTTGTAAAATGTTTTAACGCTACAAGTGACATTCATTGAACTGTAAGAGAGCTCTCCCTGGTGAAAAGCCAGGAGCTGTTTAAAATAACTTTGTCTGTGATTCCACTTGTTTTAAACTTTACATATGCTAAACTGCTCAGTCTGTGAATGTGACAATTACAACTCCATATCTATCATGTCATCAGCTTTTCCTTTCCCTGAAAACCTGAAAGGAACAAAGTTATTGAACTGGAAGGATTCTTCTGTAGTTTCAGTGGAACAAAGCACTTAAGTTATTTCTAAACCAAAGATATTTACCCTTAACATATTTTAGAGACGTAATTATTTTCTTTGTGAACTCAATTATAAAAAATAAACCTTAGGATTTTGGATTACCTTTGAACTACTAGCAGATTAGATTTTAAATTACTAAAAGTGAACACAGGAGGTCAATAAAGTAGGTGTTACCTGAAGGCAGTGTACTCAGAATTAAATAAAGACTTCTGTTAGTTCAATAAACTGAGTTTTTAAAAGGTGATGTTTAAAGGGTTTATCGGGATTCTTATATCTTCTAAGCTGAACATCATTATTACCAATTTTCTTTCCATAGCTTTTCCACTGTAAATTACAGGCTGTTTGGCTTCTGCTGATTTTGATAAATGCAGAGAAAGGCCAGCAGCAGCAGCTCCAAAGATAGCCTTGCTTTTCCTCACCGTAGCGGAGTACCAACACTTTATCTTGTAGACAGGTATGGTCAAGGAATTATCTTTCTCTGCCACACAGAATTCCTGTATTACAACAGCTTCAAAGCACAAATGTGGTTTGTTGTAACAACAGAGAGTTCATGCTGAGTCTACATAAACAGTCTGAATGCTTGATTCTGCTTTCCTTTGATTCTGCTTTGTATTTTATCTTCTGGAGGTACACCACGAAGGAAGCTGAAAGTCACACATCATGACATCGGGAAAATTAGGAGCAAATTCTGAATGCGTTCTCTAGCATCCAAATAAATTAGCAACTTGATATTCAACTTCTCCTTTTGATTTTTTTGGGGATTCAATATGGTTTGTAAGAAATGTACAAACGTAAATAAAAAACAAATGAAACCTATTTTTCGTGCCTTGAGCCTTGAGCAATAAACTGAGTGTATTGTAGTTTTTCTATTGCTTTGGCAGCATTTATGGTACTTTTCCTTAAACAGTTGGGGCTCTTATTCAAGGGTGGGATTCATGACATTAGGGGTCTTGTGGTTTCTGAGTCATCTTGCTTAGGAACAAGAGCATGAATGTTGGGATTCTTTTTCTGGAAATTCTGAACTAATAAATTAAAATCCTAATATCAAATGTTGGGCTGAACATTGTTTTTCAGGCTACTTCATTAAGTTTGGGCAGCAGCTTAACATTTGCATCCTATTATTCCCTGAACACACAGTATCCCAGGGTCCTTTTCATCATGTTTTCTTAATTAAAAGGAGAGATGCAAATGAAATTTGAGTTCAATTGTTTTTGTTCAACGTAGATGAGATGGCAATGAACAGATCAAGCATCGTACATGCGATGGAAATATCTACAGAATTTAGATACTACTAAATATCTACAGAATATCTTCTGTTTAACACGCTGTTAGCTGGGAGCACTTTGTAATGCTAGGTAACAGTCTGAAGAGCTGCATCGCCAGGAGTGTTGGTCAGTGGACCATTCCTGTATCGTAAACTGTCCTATTGTCCATCCATCTTCTGACTGCTTTATCCAGTACAGGTTTAGAGGCAGTCTGAGCCTATTCTGGCAAGCATCAGGAGCAAGGAGGGATAAACCCTGGACAGGACGCTAATAAATCGCAGGGCACACAAAGACACAAACACTCACACTCACACCAGGGCCAGTTTTCCCACAAGCCAATTAACGTACCAGTATGCCTTTGGACTGTGGGAGGAAACTGGAGCACCCAGAGGGAACCCGTGCAAATATAGGGAGAACATACAAACTTTATGCAGACAGCACACCAGGTCTGTATATGAACCCAAGGCAGGAGTGCAAACCACTGCCCCCCCGTCCTATTATTTCATTTTTAATTGATTCATATAAACAGAAAAATATAGACTGTTTCTAAACCAATAACAGATTGCCATCTTCAATCTGTTATTGGTGATGGCCTGAAATACTTCATTTAAAGAATCAAAAAGGAAAGTGAAAAGATGGGTCTCCACCTCAACATCAAAAGACGAAGATCATGACAACAGCTGGAAATGGAGCAGTCAAAATAACCATCATTAACGAAGAGATCGAATGCGTCAAGGTTTTCTGCTTCCTGGGATCCGTGATCGACCAAACTGGAGACTGCGGCCCTGAAATCAGGCGACGAATAGCGTTAGGCAGTAGTGCGATGCTGAGCATGCACCAAATCTGGAAGAGCAAAGACATCAGCCTCACAACCAAATGCAAAATGGTCCATACTATTGTGTTCCCCATATCAATGTATGGGTGTGAAAGCTGGACCCTGAAAAAAGCTGACCGAAAGAGGATGGATGCTTTCGAGCTATGGTGCTGTAGAAGACTGGTACGGATACCATGGACAGCAAGGGTCACCAATAAAGAGGTTCTGGAGCTCATCAAGCCAGAAATTTCGCTTGACGGAAAGATCACCAGACTCCGGCTCACTTATTTTGGTCACGTGATGCGATCAGATCCATTGGAGAAAGCAATGATGCTTGGAAGGATCAGTGGAACAAGAAGATGAGGCCGCCAAAAAACGCGGTGGCTTGACGCCATCAAAACAGACACTTGCTTAGGCATAGAACAGCTGAAAGAGAAAGTCCAAGACCGGAAAGCGTGGCGAGAGATGGCCTATAGAATCGCCGAGAGTCAGATCCGACTGACTGGATAACATCATCAAACCAGTAGATCTACACCTTAAATTTCTGGACAGGCCAGCATAAGATGTTTCTTTTTTTACTATGGTCTAAAAGCACTGGTCCACAATTTATGCCTTTTAAATGTGAGGTTTATTTAAGCATGTCTCCGATTTTGAAACCTGGCTGAAAATGCAGTATTTATTCAAGACTGGCATTATATTATGGGAGGTGTTAATTTAAGGCAATATCCTATTAACAGCCACACCTCTGCTGAACACTCAGAATTTTTTTAACCACTCATGAATGTGTCCATGATAGATAGGACAGTCAATTTGTCTCTAATATTCACCTAAAAAAATGTTCTGCCTTACTCATGGGCTTAAAAAAGGCAATAGTACCTAGTCTCAATTCAAGCTCTCCCTAGGGAGATATTTATAGGGTAATACATTTTAAAACAGTTGCTGCACATTTTCATTTAAAAAGCTGTAAGACTGAGTAAGAAAACAGTGTTAGTCCCAGACAGCCTGAGTTATTTTTAGGCTTGTTAGCATTTCCAGAACCACCAGTGTACTCATTAATAAGGCAGTATATTGGGCATAAGGCCAGTCCAAAGAAAATATCAGTCACTCAAATGAGAGGAGAGCAACAAAAAGTAACTCCCTTCTTGGTTCTCAGTACTGGCTCTTTTTTTAAATTCTTTTTAAGGGTTTCATGTGGATCTCCTTGCTTTCTCTTTCCTTGTTTTCTGTTATTGCCGTGGCCTTGTGCTGAGGATGTGAGGAAATACTTGCTGAACTGACCTCCCTGTTCTTTGATACAATACCAGTTCTGCTACAAAAAGATCCATCTTGATCAGATTTTCAGATGATTAAAAGAAGCCAGCCAGCCAGCAATTGCATTTAGTCATGCTATTCAAAGTTTTACCCTTCCAGCCCAAAAGAAAACAACCATAATATATTCAATTAACCTTTATCATGGTACATTGTTCACATTTCCTCTAATATAATGTGACAAGCTTTTGTACTCACTATGTTAAGACAATGGCAACAGCATCATTCAGCACACTCTCTCCAAACAGCATTGTGTACAAATTTCTGTCCACACGAAGCTCAGAGAAGATGGCTAGAACAGTCACTGGGGAAAAAAAAAAGATTTTTAAGCATTTATTTTTTCAAATACTATAGTTAGTGTGAAAGTTTTTATTTTTATTTTGCAAATATAGATATATGATGACAGAAATCAAGCTTTATACAGATGAGAAGTTTTAGCCAAATGCTTATTGCAAGCTCATGACTACATTAAAAAGAAATAAATGAAACACAAGAAAGCAGTGATCCATACATAATGCAACTTTCAATTTGTATTCTGTTAAATATGGGCAGAACTGGAGATTATTAAACATGTGTCTGAATTTTCAAAAAGATTTAGGTGTTTATGCTGACTCCTCTTAAGTTCAAGAGACGTGAACTGTTCAAATTGAACAATGCATTAGTAAGACTTCATTTTGTAACCATGTAACAAAACGATATTGCAACTGCAATCATTTCAGAGTTGAACCACCAGGTTAGTTTCTGCATTTCAAATAATTTTCCATTCATAGCTAGGTGATTACAGTTATAACAATTTCATTTATGAGTTCAATAAAGTCTAATGTAAATATAAAGTACTGTAGCATGCATCTAACAGAGCAGAAGCAAAAAAAAAGGAGAAAGCACAGGAAACTGATTTAGTGAAAGGAAGAGTAAAAGTAAAATATATATTACAATTTTTCATAAAAAGACAGGTTAAACTGATTTTTTTAGCAGAGGCTCCTACTGTATGGGCAATGAGTTCAACAGACATATTGCCGATAACCCACTGCATGGTGATCAGAAGCAGAAGACCTGAATCAGCAGATCTCAGATTTAGGGTTGGATTGTAATCATGTAAAATGTCCTTAAAATTATTTAGCATTTAAAGAGAACAGACATTAAAGTATGCACTGATGTAGAGTGCGTTTTGTTAGCACACAAGCTATATAATACTCTACATACTTTAGGTACTCCAGTAAGTAAGGCATAATAGTAATCTGATCCTGGGGAAAAAATAGATCAGTAATTTCAACATCAGATAAGGTATTAACTAAACAGTACTACTCAGGTGGAAGATAAATACCCATGTGTCCCTAGGATGTACTTTAATGATAAGACTAAGGTTTCTAGCTTCCATCTAGGGTTTGATTTCAGCACCATTAACAGCTACACTGAAATTACCATCATCGGGAAAATGATGTTGGGTGCCTACAGTATATGCATAACATCAGTCTCGTCAAAGTTTAGCTACAGAAATGTATCTTGTTTTTATATCTTAACGCAGGACAGATGCTGGTGCAGAAGCTGCAGCACGAGTATCTAATTTAGTCTGCAAATAAAATTGGGTGTCACACAGCATAGCAGGGAAGCACAAGTTTTGGAATGGCGAATGATCTGCCCAAGAAATAACATACTGTACCAGCATATGAGGCTACATACTACTTTAAATACCAAAAGGTAAGCACAGAGCCTTATGGAACACCCTGAGCAAGCAAGACAATAACCCATTGAAAACAATCAAGATTTTTATGAATTGTCTGGTAGGAATAAAATTAGATCTGTGAAATTTTACAGAACTACTGCAGGCAGATTTTTTTCTGTGTGAACTTCCCGGAGGAAGCACTTAAACCCAGAAGGAGAGAAATATTAAGTGACCTTGAGTCAGAAGCCATCAGCGAATCACTAACTACCTTCACTACCTTAACAAGGGCCTTTTCAGTGCTATGTCTCTGTCTGACTGAAACACTGACTGAGAAGACACAATGATCTGCTTTGCAGAAAGGTAATTATGGAGGAACTTGACACAGAAGTACTCAAAATCCTTTGGAAGAGCTTTAAAGACTGTGAACTAGAGGCACTTCCGTACACCACAGTATGTGGGAGTCTGGAACACGTTACTCAGCTGTGTAATTAAAGCTAATACCCTAGGATCACTGAAGAAATGGCTGGATCAGATGTTTAGTATAATGATTAGCTTCTTGCCAAATGACATGTTCTCATGTGTGACCTTTGCTATGTACTCAAGGTCAGAAATATCAGTGCATCTATTAAACTGCTGGAGTAGTCTGAGACTCAGTCAAGATATATTTCCTTGAATAGCAATTCTTTAATTCTCAGGAATCTGTGTTAATAATTTGGGGTTTCAAGCATCTTAAATTTCTCTTAAAAATGTTAAATACAGTTCATTATATATTATAATATTAAACTATTATTATAATTTATTTTTTAACATTTATTGCACTGATGAGGACAGAATTCTGGCAATGTTTACCATAATGATAATGTAACTATATGTTATTTTTAATCAGTTGAAAATTTGTAAACAAGGCATTGGATTTACTACAAAATCACATTTTGTTTTCTGTAATGTGCTTTCTCTGTCCCTCTAGCTATACCACAGCAGTTATATTTAATAATTACAGAATACACATCTTTTCACAGAAACATCTACAGAATAATGTGTCTTCTTTATGAAAGTGTCAGGTTCTGCTGGTTGCTACAAAGACACAAATGACAGGCCAATCAGTTCATACCAGCATTACAAAGCAAACTTATTTTATATGAGATTTTGTTTTGTGTCCCCAGTTATATATTTTTCAGTATTTGGTGTTTTATTACATCTGCAACTGGGATTCTTTACAGTTTTTTAATGTTGTGCTCACTATGATTTATAGGATAAAAACAGTCTTTTGTCATATTTGTTTAAAAGTGACTAATAGTTCTCATATTTTAATACAATAAATACTGGGCATCAGAAAAACACTAGAATTAAGGAAAACTTGAGTCATGGCCTGTTGAGTGCAGTAAAGTTAGATCTAGCAGAATAAGTAATGTGTTAATTTTTCAAACATTTCTAAATAAAATATCAAATTATGTGTTTGAGGCACAGTCCAGATTCAAAACACTCTACATACGGTGTATATCCTGTAGTAGCTAGTAAGCAAATGTTGTGGGCTGTGATTTCTGAATGCTGGTTAATTTCAGGAAGAAGCTTCTTGCTTTTCCCCATGTTTTTATACCGCATCTCTTATTTCAGCACCAGTCATTGACAGGCACAAAGTTGTTTTTAAAATCTGGCATCTACAGGAATTGCAGCAAGAATAGTAGATTCATCTTTTCAGATCTCAGTTAAGCAAGGCTGCGGCTGGTCAGTACTTACTGCAGATCAGAGACCTCTAAGGAATAGGAGGTTGCTGCTTGAAGTGGTGTTGCTAGATTAGTAGTTGTTGCACCTGCCTCAGGTACATTTTTAACCAATGCCCCAGTCTGGTGAACACTGTGCTGTAGGAAATGCTGTCCTTTGGCTATGATGTTTAACGATGTTAACGATCATTAACATCGATTTGGCTATGATGTCCTGGCTATTTGATTGTTAAAGATCTCATGGGACTATTCCTAAGAATATGTGTGTTAACTGCAGTGTCCCCCCTTAATTCAGTTTGGTGACACAATTACTCATATCTCTATCTAACCTGCTCTGTAGCTGTGGGGGATCCACATCAGCGGTGGATGAAGTTTGTCTCTTCTTATACTGTATGTAAAGAACTTTGTGATCCTTTGAAACTAAAGTCTCTATATTAACACAAGGGGTTACTGTTATTAAGTCTCTGTGCATTTTAGGGTCACTAGCTAATCAGACCTAACAAATGATAAACTCCATGATGATATGCTGCTGGGTTAACATACTGTACATCAATTAAAAAAATAGCAAACATTTTAGCCTATGAAATGCACAGATATGTTTAACCCATATGTTGCAGATTATGCTTATGATTGCCTATCAGGAATTGATTCTGAAAATAGATTGACATGAAATATGTTCAAAGAGAGGGCATACAGTATTTGAAATCCATTATAACTACATTTTGCCTTCCATAGCCAATCAGCACTGCAGTACTCTGTGAAGATCAAGCAGAGGCATCCCAACCACACTTCTCTCATGACTAGAATGCATGCGAAGTAAAGTACCTTCTCTCTACAGCACAAATACCACAAGAGACTCTCTGATAGGAAAAAACACACAGCAGAGCAGGCTGCTGGTATCCACAGGGACCTGAAGGTACATACAACTACATTTTTAATTCTCAAATTTAACCTGCAGAAAAAAATCAGTGTGAAAAATGATACTATGAAAGTTTAGTATTTTTATGCCATTCTTGAAACCATGACTTTGTGGTCCCCGCTGGTGAACGTCCAAAGCATACTGTCAGCTGTTTGATGTTCATGTCTCCATAGCAACGAGATCTAGCTGTCTACAAATCATCAGTTTCCACAGTAACACCATAAGGGAAAAGGATCGTTATTTGAGAAATTTTACATAAAAAGTGTTTAGACAGGACGGCGTTATGCTTTTATTTACTCAATGTCTAATTACAGTCAATCTGGCCACACTAATATTCACACATTGTTTTTGTTATATAACTTTTATTAATACCAGATTTTATCTACTGTCCCTGAGGAGAACACAGAATATGATGCAAGAATATAAAAACCCTACAGCATATAATTCAACAAAGACTTGACAAATATACATATTCTATGCATTATAAATCTATATTAAGAATTATTTCAAGGTACCAACTGAAATAATAATAAGTATAACAGTAATAATTGATAAATATCTTAATTATGTAAATTAGCAGATATTTTTCTGACTCATTAGTTGTTGATAATCTCTTGGCAATCACATCAGAACATGCTAGTGGAACTAATCATGGTTCAGGTTACTGAACATACTGTATGTAACAGTCAGATTATCATCCCCCACTATTAATTCCAAAAGGTTAATAACCTTGAATATGACTCTAGGGCTTAGACATATATACCCGAACTATAATGTCTGTCATGCCCTTACCAATATGGACATGTCTCTTCATGCCATGTAGTTAAAATCAATGCCTCCTCCTCTATTTTCAATAAAATCAATGCTTCGCACCTCATTTTCAAAGAGTCAGTGAGTCAGCACATCAAAACAGATCCAAGGCTTATTTTTATAGAGTTCAGACATGAACATAATGGACACTGAAATAATAATAATTCATTTTAGGATTGACTTATTTTTTGTAAATTCACAATATATGTTTCCCCACAACTGTCTGATATAATTATTTTGCCCTGTCAAGGGTAACAGACGAGAAGAATAGTGTATTGCTTGATATTGAGTCCAATATATTAGTGTAGCATTACATCCCTTTATCCTGTAACTCCCACTGATCTGTATGGAATTCAGGAAGTGGGCAAATGCCGTTCCCAGGGATTAATTAGATTCAAGAGCCAAGAGACAAATAAGTGGCTTCTTTCAGCAGTTTGCTTTTAAAAGTAGCTAAAGTAAGTCTTGATGAGTTTCACTAGGTTGTGTAGGATCTATTGAAACAGTTCATTTCAGCTCTTGCTCAGAAGAAGGATCTAGACGTTTCTGCTTTTCTTCACTTGTCATTTGAAGGTGCATCTCTCTAATACATATGGTATTCAAACTTCAACAGATGATCTGAGCTTGAATATGATTAGTGAATAGAATTTTAGATTGATGGCAACATTTATGATGATAGGTTACATTGAATGCAATATTCATGTCAAACTTTTAGATGTTCTTCAACAGAATTGTTTAATGAAAGGATTTACCAAATCAAGAAACATTATTTAAGCAGGCAATAAGGGAGCCTGTTTTGGGATATGATATTCGTTGGCAGCTTGACTAAATCCATTATTGGTCCTGGATGTAAATTTACAGCTAAATGCCAATGCACACAAAACATAAAGCTAACTATTCTAGACAGAATCAGCAATTCAATCTTCATAGTGGCATTACAAATAAACCACAAAGCTTACATAAACAAGACTCTGGCCTTCATATATCAGAGCTGTCGGATGCTGCACACAAAATAAAAGCAAAAAAAGTTTCACTGTGACTTACTGAGAATAAACATTAGCTGGGATGTATGATTTCTGAACAATCTTAGAAGATAATCCTCGTGTAAACTCTGTTTTAATCTTAAATCTCCATGGTAAGGCACAGATATTTTTTTTATTCTCACAGACACACGCAAGTTGGTTTAATACTTATTGTATAGAAATGATCTGCATAGCTACACAGCTGCTATATTTGGCATTGCTATGAAGGTGCCTAAAAATAAAAAGCAGGTCTCCTTGATATCTAAACATGAGATCAAATCAGCATGCTCAAGTATTCCTCTTGTCTGCTGGGGTTCATTGTGGGAGTACAACTGAGACTAAAAAGGTGCAATATTCTTTATTTCTAGAGGCCATGGATCTGAAATTAACAAAGTTCATTCTTTCATAAATCTGCTAGAAAGCTGTGTATTAAAATGTATTTGTTGACATAAACTTAAAATAGGAAAATAGTAATAACTGGTTCTACCACATTTAATGTCAAGACACTAGAAGTGAAACCATAGGTCCTACAGTACATAGCAGCTGAAACCAGAAAGCATTGCTGCTAATTAGTTAACATTCGAATCAGACTGACTTTGCATCTCATATTTATTAGATGACCGGGCATGTACAGAGTATAAAACATCTAAGTTGCTGTATTGGAGCGAAATCAAATGCAAGAAATGCAATATCTATGTTCACATTCTACAGAACTATTTTGGCTTTGAGGAAGCGTTAGCAGATCCCGTTTACAGTAGACTGCTAAATAGCAAACAAGACAATGGTGCCATTATAATTGCTCTGACAAATTAGAGAGATACGATCAGTTCTGCCTCGTGCTACATGCTGTCAGGATAGCTTACGCAGGTTACCCTAACCCTCAGTAAGATCAGTGCTGTTCTGATAAGTATCATTTTCACTTTAGGGATTTGACTTTATACCTAAGCGCTCTAATACTAAACCTGCTATGTCTGTTTGTAGAGAACTTATGAGTTTCGAGAAGGATTGTAAGAATTGAGAAGTACGATGCAATTCCTGCAGATCAAGACCATTCAAAAGGGAAGAAGAAGCTCAAGGACTTAATCAGTTCAACTATTACAAAATTAATTAACCCCTCCTCAGGTGCCCTTTCAAGCTCCACTGCAAAAGTACATTTTACTCTGCCCAGCAACAGAGCTACATAATTATAAAATATTAATTTAAGTATCTTATAAGTATGACCTGATTCAAAGAGTCTAGCATACTAGACAGCCATTCATGATTAACTGTATGAGTTGGTGAACAATGTTAAACATATGGCAATTAAAAGCAAAGGAAGCAAAATGAAACTAAAATATAATTTCTGCTTTCTAGGAGAATCAGGGCAAGCATAGATGTTAGGTATTTTAAAACAGTGTACCTGGATCAGTAGCGGACATCAATGCTCCAAAGAAGAGGCAGTCTGTAAGATGGAAATCCCCTTCTTTAATGTGGCCAGCATGCACCATGAGTTTAACAAAGCCGTACATACTACCCCTGTTAAGAATGATACAGTCAGTTCAAGTTGGATTGAAAAAGAAGTGTTCTTCATTTGTCTTTTCATCACATTGTGATGAAAGATTATCACAATACAGCAAACTGAACTAACTCATTTATGTCATAGAATGTTACAGTAAGCTCTGTACTATTGTAATTGAAAACAGGACTGGTCATTTTATTTGGTAATTATTTGGTTATTTGGTCTCAATGGCCAACTGTTCTTTAATTGCAAAACGGCAATCTTACATTAGTTATGACTTAGTTGTTAGATAGTAATAAAATATACAATTGTGTATCTGTATTGCTTCACTTTAAACAGAATTGATTTTGTGCTCAATTGTGCTCTTTCGATGATCAAATCACAGTCCCATGGGTGAATTTCAGTAGAATTTCATTTCATCACAAGAAGGATGAGACGTGTCAGTATGACTGTTTCCTTGTTCTATGTAGTTCTAGGAATAGCACTGACACACATGATCCTATCACAGCATAAAGGTCTCTTCTGTTTTAAAGGGTATTTTAAGAAAAGTAAACTGTGACTTTCAAATGATTAACAGGTTTAATTAAACATTCACCAGCAATTCTAAAATAATGTTTTTTCCTCGAAATGCAAAAGCTGTAATCTATCCTTTAAAATGGAAATCCTACCGAAATGTCCTATGCTTGAGTGGTTTTAATAAAATCTCATTAAGTGATTCTGACCCCCTGGTTAGTTTGTATATTAAATGTTTACTAGCTGAAGAACTGGGAGATAGATATTTCTGATAATAAGATAATTATATGTATATGTTAATTGGAAACCTAATTTTATAAGAAGTTTCATGCTACAACTGTAAAAAAGAATTCTCTATACATCATAAGTGCATAGCTGAGACCACATTAATTATATTTCCATACACACATAATTTAATATGCGGAAACCTGCAGTCTTGTTTCAAACTAATTCCTATGTTAATTCAAGCAAACATACACAAAGTCCACACACTCAAAGGGAGATATAACAAACATAGAAGTGTTGTTATGTTTTGAATGATTCAAACTTATTAATATGGAACAAATGAAAACATTTCTTGCAACATAACATTTTTTTATCATTCCCCTCTTGAGGATATGAGCTTACTAAGAAGGGTGCACTGACATTATTAATTAGCACAAGTGGAATCTGAGAGGAGGTCAAACACTAATCACACACACACACATCTGTACTACCTATATGATCATAGATAACCCACCTATATATAAATATTCTGCTTCCTGCTGCTTCTTGTGTCTTGTTTTTGCATCCCTCCCTCCACCCCACTTCTGCCCCTGCTGCAGCTCCCTGGCTGATCCCTCACTTAAGGAAAGGGGGGTTCGGACCACCCCATCATTACAAATGGGTTGTCGTTCTCCTCAGCGAGATGAGTCACCCCAATGCAGCTCGCTGTTTAGATCATGCCTCTTCTTAAGCTTAATTAGGGGTTAACCAAGCTGCTGTTGCTCATTTTGGTGATCACTGCTCAAGCACGGAATACAGACAATGCTTTGTCTAAAATAGTATTTAATCATCATTCATTGACAGCATTTTCTGCATAAGAGTTAGAATTAAGATTTACAACTAAAGCCATCGGCTGTTTAGGAGTTTCGGACCTACAGTAGAAGGATCAAACCACGCCATATTTCTGGATTTCTGAGCCAGACTTTGAGACTGTCTCCATAATGACAGTATTGATGTGTATTATGTTGGAAATTCAAGCAATACAAAATACAGCTTTGATGAATATTTCATGGGTTTGAAGTGAGATGGAAAGAATAGGTATTTATAATACATGAAGGCTTAATTTCCATATATTTCCAAGGGTCGTCCCAATGTCTGCTTTGAAACTTCAGAACTTAACAAAGAGATCTTTGACGGGTTGTATTTCTAATTGGCTGAAAGGATGGCTTTATCCAAGAATTGTCCAGCGGCCCAAACAAAGTGCACAGCTGTTATTGTGTCCACTTTGGTGGGAAACACAAGCATTTGCCAGTGCCCGTACAGATCTATATGTTAGTATGTGGGATACGCATGTACACATCATCTTTTTATTTAAATATATTGATGTATGTTTGGAGTAAGAGAAGCAATAAAAAAAAGAAATGAAAGCGGAATCAAGGTCCACTAATAAAAATTGCAGGTAAAGGCACCTTGTAAGAAGAACAGACCTTCACTGGACCAAGGCAATTACTGAACTGGAATCCACAAGACCAAAAAACGATCAAGACGAAGGCCTCCTGTAAGATGGCAAGGTGATATCGCTGAGCCTGCAGGTCATAGTTAAGTGTTCACAGAAAGAAGAAAAATCACAGAGATGACTGAATTGTGTAAACTGACCCCTCACACAGTGAAACCTGAATTTGTTAGAATTTATTATAAATATGACTAACCAACCAGTCAAACAAGCGCTCAAAGATGTGATAACTATGGCCATCCATTTCACTTTCTAAACCTATCTGTTAGGCTTCACATGCTGAATCACTGTGGAAAGTAGTGTCAGTGTAGATAAGAACAGATCAGAGAGGAACGCCAGCTGACATTCCACAGTGTGTGAAATCGTGAGCACCAATGGGAAGCTGCAACTAGGAACTATAAGAGAGGGACAGCACTGGCAGGCATATTGGCAGTACTCATACTGGCAGAGCTTATTTAAAAAAATAACCAAGACTTCAAAGAAAATGAAGTACTAATCCAATAACTTAACTAAACTGTAATGGGTGTCTGTCGTTTTAACACGTTACTTCCTATTTCTTAAAGTTATTTACTTCCTAAAGTATTTTAAGAAGCTTAAGCATGTCATTAAAAAAATGTTTTCACCCATGATGCTCTAGTAGCATAATTGTTTACACAAGAGGTGTAATATTACTTTATTGTATATCTCAACTGTGTGATATACAATACGTTTAAACAACATGGGCAGTATTATGGTATGAGAAGTACCACTTTGCACACTGTCTTGTTAGAAACAGACAGCACTGCTACAGTATGTGGTGATCTTGATCAGAACACGAGATGACATCTCTTACACCTTGAAGTAATAAAAACATTATGTTGGTGTCTTGAAGATCTGCAATATCCTCATTTGTAATTAAAGAGTAGGCTGTGCACACAACTGATAAATTCCAGAACCAATTTTGTTTATGAAATGAGTCAAAGTAATGACTCATTAATCTGAGGCAGACATGTAAATTAATCTGGGTTGGGTTTCCACTACTGTATGTGGGAAACACATTCCCTTCTAGATCCTGCTGCCACAAACAATCCCTCCCATTCCTCTGGGCCTTAAAACTGATGTTGGAACTTTGTGCTGAATTTAACTCAGGCTGAGGGTTGAGATTCATAATAACAAAGCATAAGGGAATTTTAATATTCCTGTAATTTATTCTTTACTGTTTATCTTCATACCTTCTCCGCTTTCTAAAAGACCACAGCTAAAACTGACAGAACATTCAGATATAGGTGCATACACAGTATTTTAAAATGTCACTTATCATAATAGTTTTTACCATATACACAGAGCTACTCTAACAAGTGGCTGGTGGGTACTGCAGGATTAGTAAATCCCAGAGTTTCTTTCTTTCAATGTGGTGGCCTTCATAAGAAAGCAGAGCAATATTTGCATTAAAAGCCTCATTTTATTATATTATTGCTAATAAAATAAATATACAACACTAAATCGAAAGACCTACCTTGTGTAGACTGTGTATATGTACACATGCAAATACTAGGTACTGTATATATGTGCATGTATGTGTGTGTTTATCCATAAAACTGTAAGCAGAGACCTAATTTAGGATATCTGGTAAGCATAGAGCAGACTGCTGGCTTTGACTACGCACCTGCAGTCAATTAACTGGTTCCTGCCCTGTATTTCTCTATAAACTATAAATAGAGACATTTAAAGGCTCTGAAGGTGTGTTTGGCTGTAATTCATGGAGCTAGTGTCTTTGTTTTCTTTTTATTATTACATTTGATCCTGATATTATCTGGTTATACTTTCTCTTGTCAATAAATTCTCTTGACATACGTATACTAATCAGTAGCCCATTTTTCAGTATGCACATAATATCTTTTGCCTTTGCGAAAAATACTGAAGGAAAAGAAAATCCAAAATTCACAGCAACAGTTCTTTATTAATCTGTAGCAGAGAAACAAATAACAGCTGCATCAAGTGCCAGACCAGATGCATCAACTGTAAGATCTGGAGAAGCAAAAATCAAAATAATAAAACAAGGAAATCTGCCCATATAGATAAGGGATCAATTTCCTGGCTCTACTCCCCCCCCCCACCACTACCACCACAACACCGGAACCAATGACACTGTCTGGGATATTCATGTTTTGGAAACGAAAATGTTCAAACAAAATTCAGAAATATGGTACCTCTCCACCGATTTGCATGAGCAGGTTGTCTGGATGTGTAAAAATAAATCTGGTGCCTGGCAGAGTACAAGTCTGAGGCTGCAACTGAAAAGCAGCACTGCAGTGAATTCAGCATAGTAATTAGCAGCTCTCTATTGATGTGTTTCAGGAAACAGCTGACCTGCATCAAACAGTGCCTGGTGAGTGTTGTGTGGTTCATGAGCGCCACCTAGTGTGCCAAAGAGAAACACACTGAAACTGATGTGCATGTACAGTAGTGATGAGAAGTGCTGCTTTCATTTCTTTATTCAGATAATTATCTCCTTAGACACAAGCAACAGGAAGGAAAACCTTTGAAAAAAATAGACTAAGAGAGAGTTGATTGAAAATATGAAATTTTAAACCGAACTGTTGTTAAACCAAACTGGTAAACCAATAAATATTCTAAAAAAGTTATTGTCAGCTCAAATACATCACATCAATTGTAGCCTTTTATTTGCTAAATGGTCATAAACGTTTCTTAATGGGACATGAAATCTGCTGTTTATCCACCTTTTTAAATGCACATCAACGCTGTGAATGTTTTTTCAACATAAATATAAATATGATCACCACAGTG